GCGTGGAAATGAACATGTCGGGGGCGGGCGACTTTCTTGAAAAAGTATTTCCTTTTATATTTTCTTATTTCGCTGGTGGGAACGTCGCGTCGGTGGTGCTCGTGCGCCGTTCACCAAGGACCTGCGCACGTGCACCGGCCTGGCGGAGCGATGGAAATCAATAATTTCCAGGGTATAAAAGGTCCTGTTTCCGTAACGTGGCCACCTCTTTGAGTTCCGGTGATCGGTGTGTCGCGCACCTCGGCTTCGAACGTGTTTAGTGGATTCTTCTTCGTTTACGATTTATCAGTTTCATCGAAGAGGTATACAAGCAGGTAGTTGATTAAGTGATTTAGCGTATAAGGCACACGCACCGGCATCGGGTATGCCGGTGTTTAGTAATAAGTTTTCACTCCTGTGGTCACACGGACGATCTCGGGATAATCCTATCGAATCGCTCTATCGAGGCGTCGTACGGTAATATACATACATACGTACACATATATATATATACATATATATGTATGGTTGGAATTAACGAAATTGTCTAATTTTCCTTATCTTTTTCCTTGTTGTCGGTCTTTCTTGTCATCTTCGTCAGGAGATAAATGTAAGAAGAACTGTCGGAGGCCTCGAAGAGCGCAACATCATCGTGGCTTCCTCGAATACCGATAAATAGATTCGAAAGATAAATGTAAAAACATTGGCGTGTGGGAGACGATTAAACGATTTGATTCGTTCGATCGAACGATTCTGATTCTGCATGGGGATGGTTTTCCACGGTAGAAAGTGCGGTTGCACGTGGCAGGCACGTAATCGAACGGGCGTGCAGGAAAAATACGCGACGAGTCATTAGCGTTGAAATACTTTCACCTCTTAAATGATGGTTGGCGATCGGTATTCGTTGGTCGTCGCGATAACATTTCACACCCGAAACCGTCCGCTTGACTACGATTAATTTAATTAAGAACTTCGAAATCAGAAAGATGAACTTCTTACGAGATTTGCATACATCCACGAGACTGATGGCTTAAGGATTATACACTTCTCTTCTCGCTCTCTTTATAATTTTGTCCAAATACTATATATTTGGTTTTTCTTTTCACTTTAATTTCATTTTTTCCACACGGACATACCGTGTGGCATGGTGTAGGCCTCCTGGGGATCCCCGCCATGTAAAAAAACGGGAACGCGTTCCGGCACAGTACCCCTTGGGTGACGAGGAAAGCTGTGCCATTTTTATGTTCGTTTGACACCCAGCTTTCCTTGTTTTCCACCCTTCTTTATCTATTTCTAAGAACAAGATTATTTCCTCTTTTTTTTTTTATTTTTCTACCGGTTTACGCTAATATACGAGACACGTTGCTCGACGCTTTCATTCTCGATTCGTAAATTGACCGACCGAGGCGGGAGCACCAGCTCGAACAGCGTAAGTACACAAAGTGGTTAAAGTATTGTTTCAAGGCTGAAAAACTTTGAGTTGCTCTCGTCTCGAGCGAAGTAAACTGCTTTCATACTGTGCCACCTCGCTTCAAGTTCCCTTCAGTTTTCCCTATTCTCTACTTACCCAACCCTTCGTTACCAGGGACATCGTTTTCTTTAGAATTAATTCTTCGCACGACCGGATGTCCTACCTTGATTTATCCAAGCAAAGAAACTTTTAATGCAACGTATGTACTCTCTCCCGTCTCTATCGTGAAGGAAGGTAGCAACTGCAAAAAGAGCTTGGAACCAGTTTTTTGCAATTTTCTAACGTTGTCCCGTTATTATCTCGCATCTGTATACGAATTAAAAACGTTAGGTTTTATAGTTACGAGATGCGGTGTAATATCGACGATCGAATCTATAAAAGTTTATATCGATTTTCCCCTTTAACAGATATTGTCCTCCTCCGCAGTTGAGCGGTGTACACCTTCGCAGTTCATAAAATCTACGTATCTAATAATCAGAATCGAAGACACGCGTACGAACAATCGTTTTCTTCGCTGATTAAAGAACGAACGCGTATCGATTTTATGCAATTGGTTAACAATAATCTTACCCTAATGGGAGAAATTTCTACCTGTTAATCATTAACTCGTTGCCAGCCCATTTCTTCGCCTCCAGCTGAACATTCTGACGCGTGTTTCATTTCTTCCGTGATAACGATCAGATTCGTTGGAAAGTTTGATTAAAAGTGCAGCCTTACGGCCACGGGAATGATTCATTGTTCGTGGAACGGGTGCATCGCGTTGCTCCTCGAACAGGTGATACCGGAAAAACCAACACTGGCGAAACGTTTCATTGTTCGAGCAATTGCTAATTGTTCTGTGACAATAGAAGTCTACGAACCTTGTCGCTTTTTATTTCAAAGGGAGTTTTCCAATGAAAAGAAACATCGTCGGTTTAGAAAGGAAGCGTGCAAGAGTAGAGTTGTGTCTGGTTAACGTTAAGTTGTTCCTTCGCTATTGAGGCATACAGTACCACGTTTATTTCTCTACGTGTAACGCTGCTGACGCAACTGTTGCGTTTCCTGTTTTCGTGTTTCGACAAACAGAGAAGCAAATCGATAAACTGTGCGTTAAAATAGATATTAATTCGATACGATGGTCGGAAGGGAATTTTATTGCAATTTTTCGCAACATGGATGATCGACTTGTAAATAGATAATCAATCTTTGAAAATGAGCTATTAGGGATACAAAAATTTAATCAACGCATTTAAACGTACATCTAAACCACAAATAATAAAATGATATTATTTAAAGAAACACCGCAACAAAATTTGCACATATTTCGCTTAACTCAAATTCTTCGATATATTTCTGATAAAAAGAGCATACAACTTGGAAAGAGGAAAAGGTGTTAAGTGAAATCAAGCGTTTTCCTTCGATCTTTCTTTTCCAAGCTCACACTCGACGAAGAGAGGATCGATCGAACTGGCTGTTCTCTCGTAATACAATCCCTTGGCACTTGCACTTTGGATATTGGATTCTCGATTGTTTGGTCACCTCTGTTTATGGGTACTTTCCTCAAAAATGGATTCTCTTCTCCAGTTACTAAGAATCGAGGGAAATTCGAGTCGTCGTCGTGATAAATAGGCTGGAATTTCAATTTTATTAATAGCGGTATTATCCCCGGCGGCAACTCGTCCCGCGATTTATGCGATCGTTTGGTTGAACTTGGGTAATCTAGAATCGAGAGAATTAAGGAAGACATTGGGTCACGGTGTGATCCGGCGATTCTTGGCTTGATTCAATCTAGCCATAAAATTTCATTCGTGTAGCCAATTTGTAAGGTTCTAGCTAGGCGTGAGAAGGCGAAACCGCAGCAGTGCGCATTAGTCCGCGCAAAAAAACCTATTGATTATTATAAAACGACCAGGCAATATCTCCGGCTGCCTACTTGCCTACTTACAGCATGCCGACGATGGCTGTTGTGTTTCGAGACGAGTTGAACGGAAAAAACAACAATGAAACACCACCCTTCGAAGATTGGCTTCGAAGATTGGAGTTTCGCGTGCTCTAGGTAGCACCGTCATCGTGTCATCGCCCTATTTCGTTAACAGGCTTCTTGGTAATCGTCGTCGCTCATCGCGATTACCGTACACGTTAAGTCATACTACCGATCGCTTTACCGCGAGATTTTCGTTTAAAGTGAAAGTGGAATGACGTACACGCAAGCATTGTAACGAGAATCCATTGGAAAAGTCGACGAGGAGAATCATTACGATATTTTTCATAGGAATATTAAACGAAGCTACGTTAGAACACGAAGACGTTCTTTCGTTCTTTGAACCGCAGTTAGAAAAATCTTTATTGGGTGTGTGGGAATGAGAGAAGAACTTCTTAGTTTTATAAGCTACCGATGTTCCGCTTCTGTAAAACGTTTATCAATCAATGAAACTCTAACGAAACATGTACGGTTAAAGAAGATTAAGGATGAGAAAAAATTCCTTGGTACGAATACTTGTCGATGATCTTAATCAAGTTCGAACAGCAAAATTAATCGAGTGGTCGATATTTCATTCTTGTAAGATACGCATCTATCGTTGATGGTATTGTAACCGCGTGTGTGTCTCTTTTAAAAAATAGTAGAAATTAGAAAAATTCTATCGTTGATCTTAATCGAGGTTGCAGCAACAAAATTAATTAAGTCACCTCGCAGTTGTTAACTTAGTAAGTGGTCGATGTTTCACTTCAGCGAGATACCTATCCACCGACATGATTGGAGCTGGAAACATCAATTAATTTTCTAAGGTACACGATTTTGGAGTAGGTTAGTAGAGGAGTATCGAGAGAGCTAACTGGTATATGGGACAGCACGGAAACGAGCTCTTCAACCTGACAACACGAGTATCACGACTAGGACTGACACGCGTTTGCCCTTTAATTTCATACGTCGATCGCCTATTATTAGCGAAATGCATTGTCCCGAAGCGCGCTTGGCCGCTTAATCGAGACGTTCGCCGCTAATGGAAGTGGAGAACGCCCACAAAATCAAATTCATCGGGAACACTCTGTTCAGAGTGTCAACGTAAACAGAAGAGACGTATAGCAACCGCGCGTACCTATGGCGCGAACGCCACGATGATAATTGATTGTTTGTCGAGGGAAACAGCAACGTCGTCACGCGATGCTTCCACTCGAACTGGAACGCGTTCACGATTAGGATAGCTATGAATACCACGTGAATGCTACGATGTGAATACGACGCATCATCGTCGAGAGCATGCAGCGCGTTCAACATGCTAATATAATCTTGTAGGAGGAAACTTGGCCTCGAGACCCTTTTGGCGCTATTGTGAACAGCGACGTCTGTATATTGAGATGCAACCAGACCAAGTTCGAATACTCTCACCAGAAAGATCGAGTGGGCTTTGTTCGAGAGGTGTGCCTTTTTAATAGACGAGATAATTGAATCATGTAGAGTGTAGGCGATGTTAGGTGTACAATATATGTGTCTACAAATATTAAATCGGGCAAGGAGGAATTTGGTTGACCTACATTGTCCGATCGTATTCAAAATCTTCTACTTTTTTTTTAAGATATGTTTTTCAATATCTTTTTTCCAGGGCTCCTTATATGTATTTGACCTTTTTCTGAGTTCGGTGTTTTTAAGCAGCGCATTCCACATCGTATCTTCTTTTTGGTACAAATAGCTTTTTGCTATTTTTTGCAATTGAATTCTTTTTATGTTTTTATAGACGAATTTTTCCTCCCATCCTCTTATAATTCGCTTGTAAATCTTACTCTTATGATAAATGATGACTGAAAAATGGACCTTGTATTATACACGTTTTTACGTACATGTACGTTTGCTCTTTCTTTTTGGCACGAAGCAATTCACTAGACCCT